TTTGTAACACATACGTATTCTAATACTGTACATCACCTAGATCGTTGTAACACATACGTATTATAATACTGTATATTACCTAGAACTTTGTAACACATTCGTATTCTAATATTGTATATCACCTAGAACTTTGTAATACATTTGTATTCTAATACTGTACATCACCTAGAACTTTGTAACACATACGTATTCTAGTATTGTAAATCACCTAGAACTTTGTAATGCATACGTATTCTATTACTGTACATCACCTAGAACGTTGTAACACATATGTATTATAATACTGTACATTACCTAGAAATTTGTAATACATACGTATTCCAATACTGTATATCACCTAGAACGTTGTAACACATACGTATTATAATACTGTACATTACCTAGAACTGTGTAACATATACGTATTCTAGTGTTGTACATTACCTAGAACTTTGTAATACATACGTACATACGTATTCTAGTATTGTACATTACCTAGACCTTTGTAACAGATACGTATTCTAATACTGTATATTACCTAGAACTTTGTAACATATACATATTATAATACTGTATATCACCTAGAACTTTGTAACACATACGTATGCTAATACTGTATATTACCTAGAACTTTGTAACACATACGTTTTCTAATACTGTATATTACCTAGAACTTTGTAACACATTCGTATTCTACTATTGTATATCACCTAGAACTTTGTAATACATACGTATTTCTTATACTGTACATCACCTAGAACTTTGTAACACATACGTATTCTAATATTGTACATTACCGAGAATGTTGTTCTATATACACAATTCAATACTATACATTACCTAGAACTGTGTAACATATACGTATTCTAGTATTGTACATTACCTAGAACTTTGTAACACATACGTATTACAATACTGTACATCACATAGAACGTTGTAATACATACGTATTATAATACTGTATATTACCTAGAACTTTGTAACACATTCGTATTCTACTATTGTATATCACCTAGAACTTTGTAATACATACGTATTCTAATACTGTACATCACCGAGAACTTTGTAACACATACGTATTCTGATACTGTACATCACCTAGATCGTTGTAATACGTACGTATTCTAATACTGTACATCATCTAGAACTTTGTAACACATACGTATTCTAATACTGTACATCACCTAGAATTTTGTAATACATACGTATTCTAATACTGTACATCACCTAGATCGTTGTAACACATACGTATTATAATACTGTACATTACCTAGAACTTTGTAACACATTCGTATTCTAATATTGTATATCACCTAGAACTTTGTAATACATACGTATTCTAATACTGTACATCACCTAGAACTTTGTAATGCATACGTATTCTAATACTGTACATTACCGAGAATGTTGTCCTATATACACAATTCAATACTGCACATTACCTAGAACTTTGTAACATATACGTATTCTAGTATTGTACATTACCTAGAACTTTGTAACACATACGTATTCTAATACTGTACATCACCTAGAACTTTGTAACACATACGTATTACAATACTGTACATCACCTAGAACGTTGTAACACATACGTATTATAATACTGTATATTACCTAGAACTTTGTAACACATTCGTATTCTACTTATGTATATCACCTAGAACTTTGTAATACATACGTATTCTAATACTGTACATCACCTAGAACTTTGTAACACATACGTATTCTAGTATTGTACATCACCTATAACGTTGTAACACATATGTA